TCACCTAATATGCATATTACTAGACCAGTTCTTACAAGCGTTTTAGCCTATTTTCATAGCAGATTAATCAATTACTTACAGAATTGTGGTCTAAAAAAATAATCTTGAAAGAACTATAAACCCAGGACATGAATTCTCTGTATCAGACAATTCCTTTACACTGCACCTGTCCATTTTCAAATCACACATTCCCATCAGCTTGCTCCTACCCTGCAGGGGTAATCCCTTAGGGTTCTGGCTTTATGGGAAAGGTATCTCTTGACTCTCCACCTCAGGTTAGCCCAGTGTTTTATCTTCTGTGATCCAAAGAGCCATCAATACCAAAGCAGACCTCCACACCCAAGCAAAAGTGCTTCAACCTGCATTTCACCTCACTACCCAGGTTCACTTAGCTATCAGCCTTAATCTTCTGGGATACTGAGAGTTCTTGATTCTCATAACTGCTTTCATATTCTATCTACATTTTTTTGGTTTTAAGTATGAAACCTTCCCAGGTGAAAATAATTTGAAATGTTCACATTACCAAAAAAGGAAAATCATATTTGTAAAAATGCAACATATTTCATAGCATCCTTTTCTTATTGGTTGGCAATGTCAAGAAAGTCCTCATATCATTAAAAATCCTTTGTAAGTCTACATGTCAACTGTTTGATTTTACATGTGATCACAACTCATTTAACCTTTCTGATATTAAGGTGCTTCTTGCTCTTAAATTTTTCACTACCTTAAATAACATTTGTAATAATACATGAAAAATTTTGTCATATTTTTCTTTCTTTGTTAGGATGGAATCTGGAAATGGAATACTAGGTTCAAAAGGTATAACCGTTCTTAAGCTTTTTAACATTTGTCAATTTATTCTCTAAAAGCAGTTTCATGGTCCATCCTCTCCCCTCTCCTCCCCCCCTCCAAAAAACACACAGACACCCTCTCCCACCATCCACCACTACCACAAATGGTAAAAGTCAGTTGTGCACTCTCTGGCTAACACCGAGTATGATCTCCACACCTCCTCCATCCAGCCCAAATGTCAAGCAGGGAAATGGCATGTTCACATGTGTGATTCAGTAAGCTCTATAGGCAGCAGCTTGAAGAGTATTAAAGAGAAGGGTGATGGTAAGAAAACCACTTGCAGATGACGACGGAGAAAGAAACTCAAAGCCTAAAACTATCAGACAGGTGGGGCCAACGGGGAATAAATTTGAGACAGAAAGGCAGTAGCATGTACCAGCTGTGCAGCTCTTCTGATCTTAGCTGGGCTTACTCAAGCAGATGCGGGCTGAGAGCTGGCCCGTCTAGGATCACTTCAGCCAGATTTCTCATCCTCTGCCACACCAGCCTTAGCTGGTGCACACTGCAACTGAGCAGGATTCTGACAGAGTTGGTGGAAATGTATAAGGTGCCGAGGCCTAGACCATATGACTATAATACCACTACTGCCATTCTTTTTGGAAAACCACGTCAAAGACCAGCAAGACTTGAGGAACTGGGAAACAAGTTACATTACTGACAGGAGGAATTGCAGCGCTACATTACAAATAGCATGAGTTTGGGAGGAGAAGAGAGCTGTGGTCATGTTTCAATCTCTTCTTGGAGTTGTCAGAACTGCTGAATAATGTGAAGAGAATCTCTAGGGAAATGGTGAAAGAGGGTGAGTTACAGAATTCTGGATTGTTGAATATATGTTAAAAGTTTTTATTCAATGAGCAGAGTCAGAAAAGTTAGATTTAAAATATCACATGAAAATGTCAACTGAAATTTCAAACACAAATCTAAATCTTATAACTCAGATTTAGGTTGGTAGCATAGCTTTAAGAGGCTTGCTAACATTTGAAGCAACGGGTGTGCAAAGAGAGACTCCCAGAGAACACTATATTTTTAAAGGTTGAAGAAAAATTATGACCGAAAAGGAGTCTGACAGCAAAAAATAAATAAAATAAAAACAAAAAACCAAGAAGTGGGGTTTTTAAAGTAGTAGAAAACAATAATGTAAAGTCTCACAAGAGAAATTTATTAATCTTACACTGATTAATACTCTATTGATTATGGCAAGTAATTTATTATCTTAGTGAAAGCAGGTCAGGTCAGAGAAAACAAACTAAACCCACTGTTGCCCGGGTGATTCTGACACAGCAAATGTTTACACCAGAGAACTGCCCGAGGGGTTCCAAGGCTATAGATCTTTAAGGAGACAGCCTGCCACAGTTTTTCCTGTAGAGAGGTTGGTGGGTTTGAACTACCCACTACTGAGTTAGCAGTCAAGCATTTTAACCATTGTGCCATCAGAGCTCTGGTAAAAGGAAAAGGAGACCATATCTTGCGGATATTACTAATGACTGGTTGAAGTGAAGAATAGCAAAGGTTGGCCTGAATGACCATGGCAAACTGGGATAACTGGCAATAAAGGAATGACACTGAACAGGCGCCCCCCCCCCAAAAAAAAAAAACACACACAACAACTGTGAGTTTACTGTTAAATACTCCCTGACATTCCTATCTGTTGTCCTCAAACTTTGGCTATATATCCTTAGTTTCAATGAGGTAAAGTGAAATTAGTTACTTACAGCTCGTATATCCATCTCTCTATAACTCCACCCAAATGATTGGGTGAGACCAGGCAAATAAGGTATAGAGGGCTCTAATTCAAGGATTGGTCAGTTTTGCCACTCCTCTGGGTATAAGAGAACCAGCTTAGAAGCAGAAAGAAAGATGCTTGTGACCTCCAAGAGAAGAGCCAGCAGCCGAGCACTTGTGAGATCCCTGCCTGAAGCAACACAGTCACACTGACACCAGGCAGAGGAGCCGTGCCACTGAGACCATCGGCCAGTGAAGCAGAGCAGTCGGCTAAAACCATGAGGCAGTGAGGCATAGCAGCAGGCACGCCTCCCAGTCCATGGAGTCAGAGGCCAAGGAACTACGTAGCTGAGAGCTGAGGACCAGAGAGACTTGGCTAATAAGAGGTGCTGCTATGGACTGATGACTATATCCTTACTGTTTTCCAATCCTGGCCTGTGGTAACCTGTTAACTTCCCTAATAACCCCTCATAATCTTAGGAATTCTCTGTGAGTTCTGTGTGCCCATTGCAACAGATTATTGGACCCATCAAAGAAGTTTGATGAGGGGAGCAGTTGGTGTCAGAACAAGGTAAAGAAAGATGGAGGTTGGAGATATGTCCAACTTCCGCCGTGTGGCAGTTGGCTGGTGTGAAGTTGGTTTCTCCTTCTCCTTTGTGTAGACAAAGGGAGTCTTCTGTGGCCACGGTGGTATTTTCACACTCAATTATTTTCCACAGCACCCTTAGGCCAGAAGAAATCGTTTAATTAAATAGTTCTAAACAACTTAAGTGTTTATACCCTAACAACTTATCTCCCCTTGGGCAATGTAAAATTTCTCAAACTTGGGAATCAGATTAGATACCACCTTCATTTTGCTATTAATTTTTGTGTGAAGATTTGCCTTTTTATTATAGCAATTGCTAAAAAGAAATCCTGATTTATAAAAGTCTTATCATTGGAAAGAATATAACTCATTGTGTCTAACAAATACGGCTGTGATTTCCACGAACATTTTTAAATGTCCTGCAGTAAGCCTATGAATTCTCAGCAGTACTCTGGGGCATCTCAATTCAGTCTGGAAACCACAGCCCAAGGCCCTATTCCGGCCTCAAATTACTCATCACCTATAAAGTTTACTCATGTACTTTAAGCACTGGCATGCAAACTGCAAGGTTGAAATTGAAATCGGCTAGGTGCTCTGCAGAAGAAAGTTGCGGCTGACTGTTCCCATCCCTTTTCCAAGCTTACAGAAACCCTACATCGAGTCACAGGGGTCAGAACCAACTTCATGGCAGTGGTTATGGACTGTGAGTGCCTTGAGGGTCTTTGTCTTTGAACATTGCTGTAGCCTCGGTTTTCAGAATTCTTGGCAGATAGAATTCTTGGCATCCTGGGTAGGTATTTGTTGAAAAACTAGATGCCATAGGAAATAAGGCACTGGCCAATATCATGGCAGGATGAAAGCATGGGATGTCCTAATTCATAATTTCACACATGGGACAGTTGTAAATAAAATAGTTCCGATATAGCCAGGTCTATAGGTGATTAAATGATGTCAAAGAATCACTCGGCTAAGTCAACCACGTGGAAACTGCGGTCCCCAAATGACTAGACTTGAGATGGAAGCATGTGAGCCAGGTGACAAAGAGCAGGGAAGAATAACCCACAGGGAAAGCCACAACGGAAAGAGAGATCGTAAGTTAGGGTCACCCAGTAATGATTTGGAAGGGACAAAAGGGGATATTAAGGCACAGCGAATGTGTAATAGAAGCCACAACTCCTATTTCCCAAACCTATTTGGGGAACCTACCAGGGGAAGAAGTGCCCTCACAGATGTTAGAATTCTGTTGTACAGTGTTTAAAGATACAATGTATTTGTTCATAATGAAACGGTTTCTGAATACACAATGAGATTCCATACTCCTTGAGGACAGGGACTTTGTCTTATTCAGAGTCTGTTATAATGTAGAAAGCATTATTAATTGACACACTACTTTCTATGAGAAAAAAGTCAACTGAGCAACTGCTAGTTGGCTCCGAGAGGACGGGAATAACAGACTACGCAGAGGGCCACCAAACACAGAGACCAAGAGTCAGCAAAACGTGAAAAAGAAAACACAGTTTTAAAAGAGCACACATAAATGCAGCTACATCTGAAAAAACAGGCACTTCAAAACCTCAGAATAAATACCTATAACTAAAGATACAAATTATTTCAGCTCTTATATTTATAAAATTTCATAATGTAGGTTTCACAGTGTGAATGGGTTTACCATTTGTTTTTGTTTATCAACCAACTGAAGTGTAAGACAATGTTATGAAGTGTTTTTATCTCCCCAACCATTAGGAAATAATTTTAATTTAAGGGGTCATGCATTATTAACAAATACAGTATTAATGTACTACACTTTATGTAATCTATTGTACAAATGACAGTATAATTCTAAATCTTAGAGCATCTCTTTAATATTTCATTGTGAATAAACATGAGTCAGGGAGGAGGAACTTCCAAAAGAATAATAATAACATATGTGTCACTACAGTACAAATGATCTCACTTTCAGAACGACAATGCAGAAGGATAATAACTTTGTTGGAATTCCACATTTATCCTTATCATATGTTTATTGGATGGTGATACTAAAAAGTCAGGAGGCTGCTGTCTGACAACACTTTTATTACAAGCAAACTTACACATAAACATTTTTCAGCAAAATTTCAGTAGTTTATCCATTTTAGAATCGATCTTTCTTGTTTAGAGTACAAAATTAAATCACATCCAGAAAGTAAGTTATTCAAATAATGTAAAGTTTTATCTACTGGTGATTATGATAGAAAACATTTACAACATCCAAAAATAAAAGAATAGCTCATAAGAGTAGGCATTTTCAAAACCTAAACTGCTTAAGAACTATATATTTCTCAATCCACTAACAGTTAGATAAAGGGGTCTGATCTTTAATATCTTTGGTAGGCTCTACTCTGTAAGTTACCATGTTGGTTTTGTAGAACTCGTAATGCTAAACTGCCTATTGGGTTTAGTGGCTTCTTGCATCAGCTCCTGCAACTGTCCAATTTGTTCATCACGAAAGTCATTAAGTTTTTCTTTGGGGAGGGCAGTTCCAAAACTGGCTTTCTCAGTTGAATTCTGTCTGCTTTCATTAGCTTGTTGCCATAGCATTGCTGCATATGCCTAGTGGGGAAAAGAAAGAAAAATTTGAGCTGTAAAAGAGAAATATGATGTTTTTATTTATTTAATATTAGAGGGCTCGAAGAACTCTAATTCCAAATCACTTTTCTCCACCACCGAGCCTCCTTTCTGCATTTGGCAAGGAATATATAAACAATAAAGTGTGTCTTGACTATTCAGTGATAATCTTACATCTTATTTTCTAGCACTCAGAGTTTTAAAAAAGTTTTAGAAATGTTTTCTATCTGGAGGGTCTGACGAGGGACCCACAGATGGGTTTCAGGAGCACAAATAAAGAATCCAAAACTGCAGGTGAAAGTATACTCAGAAAGGCACGAATATACACCTGGCACCATAGCTTTTATATCAAAGAATGACATACATCTTACAGGCTTGCAAGGGGATCTCAGAAATCATTAACTTCATTTCTGTCTTCAACTAAAAATCTAATTTAAACACAAAAGTGTAAGAAACTTTTAAAAACCTGAAAGCTTCAATATTTAACAACCACCCTGCCAGGGAAAAATTCATGCTGTAATTTTTCTCGTGCTTGTTCAGCATCTTCAGCAAAATAGTCCACTGTTATTGTCTGTACAAGAACTAAATTTTCAAAAGACTCTCCCTCTAAAATTAATCTTTTAATCAGGAGTGAGTACCAATTTATTTCAGTCATGAACTGAACAATGATATGCGCCTTCTGGTTAAGTGACTGAATTGGTTAACCCTAGATAATGCTACCACTGAGTCTGGATCGAGATATTGAAATTGTTTGTAATTGCTGAACTACCTGTGTCAACAGGTGGAGCTGCCATTGTAATTTCAGGCATTCCAAATCTTTCACTTGTATTGAATATTTTTATTTTTAAGAAATTACTTATTTCAGTAAGAAAACATTACATACAGCTTAAGTTATCTTTACTTCTAGGTAACATGCCACAGCTCAGGTTTCCTCAACCTTAACACTATTGACATGTTAGATAATTAGTATAATTCCTTAAGTGAGGAGGTGGGGCGCCGCTGTCCTTTCATTGTAAGATGTTTAGCTGCATCCGGGCTTCTTCCCATTAAATGCTGATAGCACTCCCACCCCCCATCTTGACAATCCAAAATGTTTTCAAGCATTGCCAAAGGACCCCTGGAAGGATAATTTACCCCTGGTTGAGAACCACTACCCTACAGAGGAACTTTCAAATATGTGTACAAGAAGCATGTGCAAGAATGTTTCCTGTGGACTTGCTTGATAAAGCAAAAAGTTATAAAACATCTAATTGTGCTTCAATAAAAGAAAGGACAAATACACTAAGGTTTATTCAGACAATGGATTATACAGAATAGCAAATGAATTAAATGTCTATCAAAAAGGATGACTCTCTAAAACAAAAAGAATTTAAAAAGGTCCAGAGGAGTTAAGCTTCTGACAATGCTGACGTTGACCAACCTTCCTGCATATAGCACTATAAACTCTGGCCAAAAGGTAATAAAAATAACAAACCAGAGGGCAACCAGAGTCAAGGGAAAATACAGGAGCTGACAATTTGAAGAAGAAAATAGTGTATAGCCTTGGATGCGAGTCACATTTTTGCAGCTTTTTGTGTGAGGAAGACCCCAGTTGGTGTTGAGTGTGTCTCTACAATGTATCACTCACAGTGTCTAGGAAGAAATTCAAAATGACTAGAGACATCAGAAACAGAAAACGGTAATCCAGTCAAGAGAAGAGGCAATAGATGGAGACCAACCCTGAGATGATTCAGGCATTAAAATTGGCATGTCCAAGGCTGTAAATCCATACAGGAATAGAGAGCCCCATCTTTGGGTTTGAACTGCAGACCCTGTAGTGAGCAGCCCCAAATCTAACCCACATCACCTTAAGACCCAATTTAAAATTTTAGAGCTCAAAAATTGAGAATCTGAAATTAAAAAAAAAAATACTCATTGATTGGGCTCAATAGTCGGTACAAGATAACGAAAGAAAATGTGAACTTAAAAATGTCAATAGACAGTAGCCGATCTTAAAAAAAGACATACAAGCAATTAATAATAATAAAATCTCAGTGATCTGTTAAGATGTTTTTTTAAAAACTAACATATTCTTATAGGAATTCCAGAAAAAGGGAATGATGCCTAACCCATCATGCCACTGGGTCCCCTTAAATCATAAAAATATCCCACTCTACTTTTCCACCTACTACAATGAGATCGTATGCAAAACTGTCTTAGGAACTACATGACTTAGATAGTAAATGCTCTTACAAAAGCAGTCACATGCTGTGATGCTCTTGTTCACAGTTTCCTAAAAATGACAGTAAATTTTCAGATTTCTTAATCATTAAATTACTTTTATTCCTTCAACATAAATTCCTAAAATTACTATATCTACAAAGAAAAAGAGCCCTTTATCCCCAATTTTTTCAATTATTCTAAGATTCTATTTAGCGACATTGAAGCAACAAGTTTTAGCTTCCAGCATTTAAATGTACCCGAGAGAACTGATATCTCTGAATATTTTTCTCCAGAGAACTGATTAAAAATCCTTTACTTCCTTGGGGAGCAAACAGCAACAAACACCCCCTGCATGAAAACTGAGTTACTGGAATTACAATAACTAAATTCAGAAGCACCTTGGGGATCTGACACACAGTTACCCAAATCATTAACAAGAACATTTTATATTAGAGAAAAAAAGATTCCATGTTGTCAATTATAATAAACTTACTTTCTTGGTTCTCTCCGATCAGAATTTATGATTTTCAAGTCACTTGTGATAAATTGTCCATTTTAATGTACAAAATATCAAATTACAACACATGTTGTATTTAGCCCCAAATATTGATAAAATATACCACAGTGACTAAAAGAATGTAAACAAATACAATGGCTTCAAAAAGTTTGTGGAAAATTTTATTATTCTTTCATTCCATTTTCCCACCAACTTTTTGAAGGTCTCTTGTAAGAATGAAAAGTAACAGTAGTGTCACCAATGAATGTATTCTTAAGTGATGTGTGGGGCTATCCCCCACCCCCCCAAAAAAACCCCAGAAAAAAGCTCTCTGGTGGGCGGAGCTTTCATAGAATGCATTTTCCTCGCTAGGTGAGCATCAAGCAACTTGTTCCGAGTTAGTGCACCCAGCTAGTGACACTGCCTGGGATGGTTCTCTCTGGTCGCAGTGAATTTTTTGTAAAAGCAGTTTTGCGGAAACCTCATTTTTTGTAATGGCCAATTTAAGAGAATAGCGTGTGGGCGTGAAATTTTGTTTCCTGCTTGGGGAAAATGCTGCAGAAACTGTTGTGATGTTGAACACAGATTACAAGGGCAGCACTATGGGGAAAACTCAAGTTATAATTCTTATTTCAAAAAAGGTGAAATGTCAATTGATAACAAACCTCCTTCTGGATGTCTGTCAACTTCCCAAACAGGAGGGTAGGAGGAAAATAGGGAAAAGAGGGAACAGATTGCAATGATAGACACATAACCACAAACACCTCCCTCCCAGGTGAGTGAACAACAGAAATCGTGGGGGGAAGGAGACAGTGGGCAGTGTAAGATATGAAAATAATAATTTATAATTTATCAAGGGGTCATGGGTAGGGGTGGTGGAGGAGCTGATACGAAGGGTTCAATAGAAAGTAAATGTTTAGAAAATATTGATGGCAACATATGGACAAATATACTTGATACAATTGATGTATGACTTGTTATAAGAGCTGTAAGAGCTCCAAATAAAATCTCTTAATAAATAAATAAAAGACAAAAAAAAATTGCTAAATCTATTCAACAGAAAAAGAAGAGTCTCTTCAATAAATGGTGCTGGGAAAAAATAGATTTCACATGCAGAAAAATGAAACAAGATCCATGTCCCACACAACACACAAAAACAAATTCAAAATGGATTACGGACCTAAGTGTACAAATTAAAGACACAACATTCTTAGAAGAGAAAGCAGGGGAGACACTGCTTCGTCTCGCTTTCAACAATGGATTTCAACTATAACAGAAGCACAAACAGCAAAAGACAAAATAAATAAAAAGGACTTCATCAAAACTAAAAACATTTGATCAAAAAGACTTTATCAAAACTTAGAAAAGATAAACTAAGATAAACCAAAGCTACTTATATACAGCCAAATACCTGATAGGATTAGCAGAATATCTTCAGATACCAGACATCTGACAATAACGCAACTGAAATGTATGTAAACTTTGGACAACTTCACAATAAAAAGACAACTGAGCAAAGGACTTTAATGGTCAGTTCCCGAAGAGGACAGTTAATGGTTACCAAATGCACAAAAGATGCTTAGCATCATTTGCCATCAGAGAAATGGAAATCAAAACCACAATGAGCTGCTATATACTCCCCTAGGATGGCTAAGAAAATAACAAATGTTGGCAAGGATGAGGAGAAATTGAAACCCGTAGCTCTTGTGGCTGGAATGTAAAAATGGTGGAGCTGTTACAGAAAAACACCTGGTAGGGCCTCTAAAAAACTAGAAATAAAATATTGGATGACCCAGCAATTCCATTCCTAGGATTATGCCAAAAGACTTGAAACCAGACACTCAAAAAGAGGGCACAAATGTTCAATGCAACTCTATTCACAACAGACAAATGGATGCGCAAACCATGCAGGATTACACAAAATGCGATGCATACACTCACAGATACTGCTCAATTAGTAAGGGAAACAAAGTCTGGATCCACACTATAGTATGGACGGAGCTTGAAAACATGAAAATACAAGAAAAGGCAAATTAGTATTAAGACCAAAATAGTGGTCAGTAGTGGTTACCAGGGGCAGGAAAAGGAGAGAAAAATATCACAGTGATCAAGAATATCATCATATTGACTCTAATTACTGCTAATAAGTTCTATACTGGTAAAAACGTTAAAACCGGCCAAAGTTGTGTGATAGGTATATTTACAAAGACACACACACACACACCAGAGTAGCTGCTGAGGTTGCTTAATGACAGCCAAATACCTGATGAGATTTGGCTCTTTTGGT